CGCCCCTCCTCGCGCGCCATGACTGTGGAACGTGGTGCCGGGGAGGAGGGACGGCCGCCGGGGGCCGCCCGGGGCCGCTCGGCATTGGTGCAGAAACCCGAGCCGGGAGCCGCTCGTCGCGCTGCCAGCTCCTCCTCCTCTGCGGGGGAAACCGCTGCACCCGAACCGAGAGCAGCTGCGAGCAGGGGGGCAGGGCGCGGGCTGAAAGGCGAGCCTGAGGTTCAAACCTCGGCGGCGCCAGGAGGGCGACAACCGGGCTGCCCCCGGTCCCCCGAAAGCGCGACCGCCTGTCTGTCCAGCCCGGGACCCAGCATTCCCAGGCGTGTTTTCTGGTCGGAGGAAACGTGAACCAAAGTGGTTCGGCTCCACAAGACCCCCTCGAGCCGGCTCGAGGCATCTGTCTCAACGAGGGCACACGACAGCGAGTCGTTTTTGCTCCGGGGAAAGTTAAACCATGCGTTTTGCAGTAAGGGGGAGATCGTTGCGCCCCTTCCCCCAAATGTCACGCAGGATACATAAGGCGCTCCGGCTACCCAGACCTTCGGCACGGTCCCTCACCCTACCCCCACTCGGGCTGGGTGTGGACTGGGCGGGGGAAGGCTCTATAGGAGCTTAGAGCATGAGGTCATAGGCGGAGGAGGCTGCTGCCAAACGCGGCGGAGCTTCTTGTGCATTTTGAGGGGTAACGGTTGTCCATCTTCATTGATAAGTTCTCCCGCATTACCCTTTAATTCTGGGGCACCTGGACCAGAGAGTCCTCGAAAGAGGCGAGGGCTCGGGGCCATTCTGCTCGTTGAGTTTGGCCGACGCCCAGCCCCCTGTGGGGCCCTTCCACGTGAGCAAAGTCGAGGGACAGCGCAGTGTCGAGGAGACAGGCTCAGACGCTCTGTCCCCCGCCCCTTCCTCGGTCGTCGGTCATCTTCCAACCGGACAGATTTCTGTGATAGCCTCCCGGCCCCTTCCGATCCATTCTTCCCAAGCGACTAGGGGAGTCTTTCTAAAACTCCGGATTACTTTCCTCCGCACCCCCTCCCTAGTGCTCTTAGAATAAAGCCAAGCCCCGAGCCCCGGTGAGATTTCTTCTCTCCAGACCTCTCCACTCCTGCAGCTCCTCCTCCTGGACTGGAAGGCGGCCCTGCTTCTTTGTTCTGCGGCTGGGGGTGGGGTGGGGGACGCTAACCCTTCTCCCTCCACCTCTTTTTACTAACTCCTGCTGGACCTTCTGGACTCGACTCCACTGTCACTACCTCCAAGAAGCCGTCCAGGGATACAATCATCTCTAACTCCCTCAGAGAAAAAAACCCACCCTAGACCTCCGGGCTGTGGTCGGAGCTGGCCCCAGGGCGGCCCTTTCCCTCTGGAAGGAGGAATTGCCAAGCCCCAGCGCCATCGCTGCCTGGGGCCTGACCTCCTGGGAGGGAGTTGGCCAGGACAGAACCTCAAAACACTGTTTCCTCAAGAGACCTGGAAAAGGCAGTGCACCGCCCAGAAAACCCAGCCCTTCCATCTCCTACCCCAGCACACACCCCTAAAGCTAGGAGAGGTCTTTTCATCTAAAGCTCCTCCCAGGCACAGATTAAGAACCTGAGGCTGACAGGGAGTAAGTAAACTGCCCGAGCAGTGAGGTCAAGGTGGAAATTCACACCCTGGTCTTTCCTGCTCCTAAACCAGAAGCTGCTGAGAAGGAAGGTTTGGGGATTTGGGACTCAGGGTAGTGCTGCTACACAGCCAAGGATGCTTGTATCACCTTCAAAGGAACACGACCCGTTTGGCCCACTGCCAACAGAGGTAGTGTTTCCTAGTGGTTAGTTGTGCAGGCTCTGACCTTGAGCAAGTTAATAATCTTACTTGGTTCGTTTCTTTGACTGTAAAATCTGTTTAATGCTACCTACAATGCAGTGTTGTTATGAGGTTTAATCAAGTTAATATATATTTAAAGACAGGACAGTATCTAGGCAAGTTCTTGATTATTTGTGAGTGGGGTTATGTGCCCCCCCTCCCAAGGACTCTAGCAAATCAGGTTGCCAGAATCTTAACTGTGAGGTAAGCATCAAAAATGTCCTAAAAACCTGGGAAATGCACAGATAATACATACAAAGACCTTATTTAGCCAATAGATTGAACCCTCAACAGTGCATATGCTTGAAGATAATTCATAGCGTGATTAATCCCACATCTGTGATTGTTGGTTGTGAAGTCTTAGAATAAGTGTCAGAGGAAATTAAAAATTTACCTTGGATCTTTGAAATTCGAATCAAGCTGAAATAGGCCTAGTCCTGGTGTAAGTCCTGCCTTGTATGACCGCCTCCTAGGGCTACAAAAGTAAGGGGATTATTATTATTATCATTAGATCCTAGCCTTCCCATTTGCAGCACTTATCCCCATGGTAAAAGAGGGTTTTTTTAATGCAATATATTTTTTGGAATAGGTTTAATGCATTCACATGATTCCAAGTTCAAACAAACTTTGAGAAGTCTCCCACCCTATCTGCCACCCACCGGTTTTCTCTCTGTGGAGACAACCAGGGTTAGCCTTCAGAAGACATGTTTGACTGTTTTCCAGCCGAGGCCTCTGGAGAACTCCTAGGGTGCCTGTTTAATACTTTATATCTAGGGTTCCCTGCCTCAACGCATGTGAAACCATCACCCCACCCCTACCCTTCCCAACCCTTCAGCCTCAATCCTAAACAGGTACTAACAAGGATTAACCGCAGTTTCCTGTGGCTCTTTCTCCTCTACGCTAATAATCACTAAGGTTTATCAAGTGCTTTCTATGTACCAAGCACTGTGCTAAGTATTAGGCATTCGTTATTCTATTTAATCAGCCCCAAACCATCATCATTACATTATTCTTATTTTATAGATACAGACAGAAGTGGAGTATCAGAGAGGTTACATAACTTGCTCCAATTTGAATCCAGGCCAACCTGAACCCAAACCCTCTGTCTTAACCACTAGCCCTCTTGTCTCTCAGCAACACAGGAAAAATTCTGGGAACCTGAAGGGAAAGAAGTAGGATGGAGTTTTTAAACTTGGGCAGATCTTAATTCAAATTCTGGGACTGGCCCTAGCCCTGATCAGCAATGAGATCTTGGGGAGGTTTAACCTCTCTAAGCCCCAGTTCACCCACCTGTGAAGTGGGACCCTACGTTTTTCATTGGCTTAATGTGAAGGTCAAATGCATGTAAATGACGTTTTTTAAAATGCCTAGTAAACCAAATACAATGTTTAGATCTTGTGTGGCTCTGATTTGAGTAAACCAATGCTAAAAAGGCAATTTTGTGACAATCGGAGAAATAAAATGTGGATTTGATATACATGTTAATAAATTATTAATTTTATTAGATGTGGTAATGGCATTGT